GATTATCTTGGCCTGCTCAAAGCCTTGGCCCAGAGGCACTGGCCGGCGGAGAATGGAAGTACGCGAAAGAAGCCGCCTATGATGTTCGTCTGCGTGCAGTGGGAGGATGGAACAACGACCTAGGAGTGGCGAGGAAAGTTGAAGAAGCATTCTCAATTTGGTGGGCAAGCGAAGATAGCAGCCCCCAACACCATTGAGTACGACAATGTCGTGCTAGTGGAGGCAGGGGAGAGGATTCACTCGGCCGATTTCGCCTTTGTCAAGACCGCTGCCCAGCTTGCGGAACGGCACAAGGAATGGATGAAGAGACAACGCAAGAGCGAGTCTCGGTCGCTATCTCCGGGCTTGGCGCTTGACACTGTGGAGTTCGAGGGCAAGGATGCCTAGGACGGCTAGACGAATCGAGCTATCTGGGTTGCTGATGGTCAACCTCGCCGACAGTGCTTCGACGCTGCAATTCAGGGGGCGATCAATTACGTAAGACAGTGAGATATAGGGGTTACGTTTGCTGATTAGTTTGCATGTCTTTTGACTTATTTTGATTCGGGTAGCTGGACTCCCAGGCGTTAGTACACGTGGGCTGAATCCCATTCTTATTGTTTCTGAACGTTCTTTCGTGATGGATGTGCTGCCCAGGCTTCACGAATATTGATTCATCATATGCTGCATGCCCGGTGAGATACTCCTGCGAACGGCCCCTTCTCCATCGAGATCAGGAGGCAAACTCGCGCCCGCCATCACGCTTGACCCGACATCGAGAGCATCAGAAGTGATCACATTTCCATAGCTACCTTGTCTCCTACCTCGGCTTCACTCACGGAAAGCATGCCCTCCTGCGAGCCGTATACCGTGAACGTGGACAAGAACCCCTAAACCGCTGCTTCGTATCTAAGGGGCTACTTTCCGCCGCCTTTCTAGTATCCTTTAGTTCCTATGCTCTCCTGCGCACCGTTGGTTTGGTTGCGACTGTGCTCTGAATGATCCCGTCCTGGCTTTTGTTAGATGAGGCATCGCTAGCCTACAACTCGCAACGTACTGGATATACCCTTGTAGCGAAGTTACTTCCGCCGCCAGAACCATCCAAGCATCGACTGCCAATGTTCGTATGCCGTTTGCGCGGGGAAATGCCAGTCTGTTGCAAGAGTTTGGCGGATTTTGTGTGTTCTTGGCTGCAGTGAGTAATTCTCCCATTATTTGAGAGTGAAGGTGGGAGGGACATCTCATGTGTTCTGAAGGTTAAAGGGAGTGCAGTCCGCCGGAGATGGCGCTCAACATTCATGTTGTACTGGGGCTTCGCACAGCGGCAAGCTCAACAGTGAATGGTGCCAGGGGAGGCCATGTTAACCTGTCTCATTCCTTGGTAGCCTGTTGATCCTGTGAGTGACCGCTGAGAGTGATTGTGGCTGCATTCGATGGGAACAAATTGTCATTATGACAGAGGCATTATCATGTTCTTATTCAAATATGCGTATTCCGCAAGAAGAGGCCTGCGATATGAGGTAGATACTATTCGGCTATGGTAGGTCGCTTTCTAAACCACATTCTGTCGGCAATCGATACACCTCGGTCGTCCGCAATTCGCTGAAAGAACTGCAGTATGCCGTGGACAACAGTTGACATGTACGGCGAGCGAGGTCGAGACATGATAGTCCATGTTGGGAGCTCGCGGACGATGCCGTCACCCCATCCAACATCGAATGGCCAGCCTGCAACAACCGAGGCGGCCCCAGTTTCATATTCGGGTTGTATCCATCGGTCAATGTGAAGATGGCAGGACACATCTAGAGACGATCATATTCGGGTTGTATCCATCGGTCAATGTGAAGATGGCAGGACACATCTAGAGACGACGAAGGAAACAAGGAACAAGAAACAAGAAACAAAGAAGACAAGCGTGCAACAGAACTTTCAGGTGCACTTTCTTGGAAGCTCAAGGTAGACTCTGATAAGATCAGGATCGGACTGCATGTCTTTGAAAATTTCCCGGTATAGCTCGGCGAGATCTCGGGGGATCGATCGCAGCCGGTCCATCAGGCCCCGTAGCCGAGCCCGACCATAGTCAAGCTGAAGAATGTACGCCACGAGCCACACCCAGATGAATACTCCCTGGACTCTGTGGCGCATCTCGTCCCGAATTCTCTCCGCGAGAAGGCTACGGCCAATGTGGAGCTTGTTGGTGATGAAAGCGCTAACGTTCTCAATGTGGCCAGGCTCATTCTCGACAACGAGCCCCGTTGCGTGGCGAAGGGATATGTAAGGATGATGCCTGCTCGCGAGGCAGATGCGAAGCTGGAGATCGCGCGCGAGTGCTCTCTCAGTAAGATCGTTGAAGAACATGGCCATCTTGTGGATCTGATCGCGGTTGCACTCGTTCAGGGCATCGACGAACCACGTCATCGGCCTCAGCTCGAGTATATCGATGGCCAGAGTAACGAGATTCTCTAGTTCCATGATAGTCCAACCATCATCCGCAGGATCCGTCCCTGATCTCCGGAGCAGTTCAGCTATTTCGGCGGTGGTAGCGTCGCTTACGAGCGACACAAGTAGAGACCGATACATGCCTTCGACCGACCTCTGGAGCTCAACACCGCGCGTGTGGAAGAAATGAGTTAGGATGCTCTCCCCACTTCGGGATTTCTCTGCGTGCTCGCATGCAAACTTCATCAGAGTCGACTTGCCAGTCCCTTGTTTGCCGCGAATCCAGAGCAGAGGACGCGTGTCGGACAGCGGAGGCGATGGCGGCGCGTAGTCGCTCGCAGAGTGGGTTGCAGGCATCGGATCCCATGCTTGGTAGGCTTCACATCGCAGAAGCCAGCGGCATGGTCTTGCCTCGGAGACGCTGATCTTGTGCAGGCGTTGACTCATCTCGTCGAATCTGAGGCTATGAAGCAGGGCCTGCTTCCGCTCCTCAGGCGTCCGAGGAGTGCCGCTTGAGTGATCTGGTGTCTGACGTGGATCATAGTTGTAACTGTCTTCATAGCGACCATCAAATATTAGCAAACGCCTCTTTTCATTACAAGCGATCTGCCTTGGCAACTGACTCCAGGTGAAGTTGTCGCCATTGAAGGTGCCTCCCGGCAGCTGGATGCCTTGCCCATTGAGAGCCGACTCGTGCGACATGGTATGGTTGTCTCGATTGTCGTCGCGCGGCCGATCATGGCGACCTTCCCTTGGCCTCCGGAAGCCGGCGTCCATGGTACTATCGCACCATCAAATGAGCCTGGGAGTAAGTAGTTCAAGCTGTCGATCCAAGTTAGTCTATGAGTCCGGCGGCTGGAGACGCCACTAGAATAGACCGGTTCTTTGTATTGGCACCTTAGACTGAACAAAGAGGAGAGAACCACCGACATGTGCGTGGCGAGAGGAGGAGCAAGAAGGAATCAGAAAGTGCACTTTTGGCCTTCTGCGCGAGCCAATCTAGGAGCGCCTGCAAAGATTGCACGCGATGATTGGGTGAGGAGACGGCATGAGTTGGCCTGCCAATCTGCCAACTGGAGAAAGAGGGCAAGGAGGGGGCGGAGAGGAGCACAAAACACGCACCCTCTCCCTCTCTCTCTCCTTCCGTAGCCGTCATTCTTCCGTCCGACACGTTGGCTTCTGCTAGTAGTCAAACTGTCGGACAGCAAGAGCGACCCGGTCGCCGGCGATGCAGAGTCGACA